AAACAGTAAAGAATATTAAAAAAGTAAAAATCCACAATAACTTAAATATAACTAAAAATATTATATATACAGACAGATCTTTTTTTTATTACATGTTGTATTTATATAGCTCAGATTTGTAGTGTTGTGTTTTTAGTGTTAGACACATTGCGGATTATGGGATATAGCTATTTGAGATACAATAAAATATGTATTTAAACGCGGGACGTTGTTTAATCATAGGGTCTGTGCGATTGATATTAAAATGTGAATAAATAAATGTATCGGTCCTGTTTTAGAGCAATACACTTGCCATCAAGTACAACTTTTCAAAGATCCACTGCGTGTTTTCTGGTACTGTCTTATTAAAAACAATAACAATGTTCAGTGTTAGTGAGACCCTCCAGCAGAAATCCCCGTGGACCCTTTTCAGTATGTTTGCTCTCAAGAGTATTCAGAGCAATAACTTACGTAAAAGTACCAAAATGTAAAAAATACCTTGCCGCAAGTAAAAGTATAAAAAGTATGACCAGCATACCAGGGAATACAGTTTGTTTTTTTGCATAGTCAAATGTATATATATTAACTGTAATATTGGAGAATAAATATTGTAACCAGCAAATAAAATACTTAATTTTTAAGTTTTTAATTGTGGAAACTTCTTTCAGGTTGCTAAAACTCACACAGAATATCCGCCCTCAGTGGCAATGGTTTGTCAGTGTTATTTCATAATATAGTATAAAATAGATAATTTAATATTAATAGGTGCACAAGCAACATCTCAATGCTGTTGTACTGGGAAGTATTTGGATCTGTGACAATGTGTCATGTTTAATTTGCTTATTGAATATTTTTTATGTAAATGTGAATTTGCAAAGTTGTCAGATTAATGCAGCGGATTAAAAAACACGAAGTATAAATGTGTAGTGGACGCATAAAGTACAAGCACTTTGAATTTGTGATCAACTGCTATACTTTCCATCACTGGTTACTGCAGTATTTTCACACAGTAAATTGTCACTTTCTATACCTTTATTTTGAAGACAAACTCCCTACTTCCGACAGCATTCTGGTTACGTCAACGAATCTCCACTTCCGGGGATCTGTTTCCGGTAAGGGGCGTTTCTGACTTCATCCTGTCAGTGACGTCTTACCTTTTTATTTATCAAGCAAAAACACCAAACATGTGTTGTGTTCCAGCTTCTTCCTTGAAGAGAATTGCTGCTTTTTTTTGTTACAATTGTTGTAAATTGAATAGTTTTGCGTCTTGGATTGTGTGTTGAACAAAACAAGTAATTTGAAGACTTTCAGTCTCTGGGAAATTCGCAATTTAGACTATTTTAATTGGTTAATAATTAAGTAAAAGAATCCACAGCTGAATCAATAATTTTCCTTGTGTATGAAATCTTCTATTTTACTAAACCTAGCATTGCCTCATTATAACTTGTGGGTATTGTTGCTTATTTGTAATAAAATGAACAAAGACACTGAACACAGGTTTGGTATCACATAGTTTTACTGTAGAAAATGTGATGCACTGATGAAACTCACCTTCATAACATTCAGGAAAAAGCACGTCTCTGTGCGTACGGCTACGTCTACACCTCATCCCTCGTTTAGAAGCAGGAAGAACCCGTTCGACAAACACTGACAGTACATTGGTGGGCCGGTACGTTTCGCACAGTACATCTTGTGCACAAAAGTCTGATAAACTATATTAATCGTGAGAGACACTGGTGCTTTTATCCATAATCGTTTGGCAAAGAGAACCAAGAAACTTAAAGGCAGATTTGAAACTCGCATGGGAGGACGTGTCAAAGGTTTGTATCAGTACAAAAAATAGATATATAAACAATATACAAATACAACAGAACATCTAAATATCCATCCCTGTGATCGCGGTACATATCACGTGTCACCATGACTGCAGAAGGCAAAGAGACACGGAGACGCGGAGGGTCCTGGAGGTGTTGGAGGCGGCGTCGGGGCTCAGGGCTGGGCCTCCGCTTCAGCAGGCTCGTCGTAGATGTAGCTGCCCACACCTCCGGTGTTCACGCCTGAGAGAGGGCCAGAGCACAGACATTACCTCTAAAGGGTCAGTTCACCCACATATCCACATTTCTTTGATTTCAGGAGAGTTTTTGCTGTTAATAAATACTAATAATCACAAGAAAAGACACTGCTGCTGTGTGATGCAAACGTAAAAATAAATATGTGTAGTTAACTTTTTAGCCAAATTTGAATGATAGCATCTGCCTTTAAAACATAATCGCTAAGTATGTAAAATCAGGTTTAAAGTTTGTGAAAACAATAATCAGTATTCTCTGCTCTGAGGGTTGATTACATATTATGCACATTTACAGAACACTCTCACTGCTGCACGCTACTTTTACAGAATGTTAACGAGACCTCCGGTTTCTCTAGGATTTAAAAACTGAATTGGCCTAAAGTCCTCAAACATGTAAATGGTGCTTTTATTAGTGAGCTATTTGTTGGCAGCAGCGGGCGCCATGTTACAATAATTCAGAGGTGTGGCAGGACTTATCTACGGCGAGTATAAACTGAGCTCTGTGTGCACCCTGGATGACAGGAACACAGAGAGGGAGAAACCTTTTGAACAGTCCAACACCACAATTTAGCACGATACACTTCAGTCTTTTCACATGTTGTCATCATTTATACTTAATAACAAACGGTTCAGTGACATGTGAACATAATAAATAAAATTTCAGGCTGTGTGAAGATGGTGAGCCTCAACTAAAAGGTCTGTGTGTGTGTGTGTGTGTGTGTGTGTGTGTGTGTGTATGTGCACGCCGAAGCCAACTAAAGCCCACGAGTGATGTCTTAAGATATGGAAACAAATAAACGGTGACGTTCAGACGTTGTCCTTGGCCGTGTTTGGCCGCTGAGAGAGACAGAGCCTGACAGCGTGTGTCCCGGGCCAAAAAAGATATTAAAGAGAGTGCAGAGATTAAGCAATCCGTATATATTAATCCTTGAGCCACGGTTTTATGGAGTGAAAAGTGGCAAATTAAAAGTCTTAATGGAAACAAAAGGTTAACCAGGGTCACCTAGGCAGATTCAACTATGATATCAACTAAAGCGGAGCACTAATGTCATTCTAATAGTTTCCTCCTCTCTTCATGTTCCTGAGCTTCATTCTGACACTTTTAAGGCCCCAAAAAATAACATTTCTTTTTACAATCAACACTTGAAATGATGAAGGCAAGTTAGAAGATGTGAACCACACTTTGGTGTTTCATTTTGACCTCTTCACTTAAGATTTCGATAAACTTATTTATTTTTATTTTTACAAAATGTACCAAAACACTGGCAAGGAGGAAGATCTGAGGAAGATTATGATGAGAGCAAATATGAATCTAAATCATGCCCTCCAAACTAAAAATAGATCTGGTTTGAATTGACGTTACTAAGCTCGTTTACAAGATATTTAGCTGATTTATTTGGCTCGACTGCCTCTGCCTCTGATGAATACTTCTAGATCTAAAATGGCGTTCTGCAGACTGTTGTTTGGGGACATGGAGGTTTTTTGGACGGTCTCTCTCAGCTCCCGCCCACCCAGCTGCTGCCCTGCGGCGCTCTCAAAGTGTTTCTGACTTCATACCTTTGGGCCCAAACAGCACAGCGTAGCATGGCTTGTGGCAGTAAGGCTGTCCATCGTGCTGCAACGGGAAACAAAAAGGAGAACCCTCTTAAATCCCTCACTCTATACTAAAAACATCATAAATATTCAGGAAACATCCGGCGTTGTGATGTCGCGCTTGTGTCTCTCACCTCTGCGTGGCTGCCGGCAGCCAGAGTCTTACTGCATCTCTCGCAGCGCAGACAGGGCCGGTGCCAGTTCTTCCCCAGAGACGACACCTTCTCAGCTGCACACACGCACACACACACACACACACACACACACCATGGAGATTGTCACCATAGAAACCGGTTGCTTTAGTCAGTTAGACACATTCCAGCACCGTGAGATACAAAGACACCAATCTGCTTACCGAAATACACCGTCTTGTTGCATCTGGGGCAGATGTTGGGTCCTCCGGAGAACGAGGAGAAGCTTGCAGCTGATAAAGACACATTGAATAATGTAATGTATTATTTATTTGACTGAAACATCTGTAGCTACATCAGCACTATGCAGTTTTTACTCACAGTTGGTATATTTAGTTTTTTATTCTCTAAAATCTGCCCCCCCCCCCCATAAACTAAAGAGACTTGAACCAAACATCTTAATCCCTCCAGAGAGCCTTCTCTAGCACTCTCTCCCAAACATTGGCAGTGTTTCTATTTCTGCTGCACATGTTTCTCACCCTTCACCGGCCCCCGTGGGGGGGCTTTTTTCTGCTCCTGTGGCTTGCCATCTGTTTCCATAGAAATGGCAGCAGGGGCTTCGTTGACGGGGGCCTCGTACACGTAGGAACCGGCTCCGCCGATGTTCACGCCTACGGCGCAGGCAAGAAACGTTGCGTTCACAAACATAGAGTTGCTGCAAATAATGTCTTTTTTTAAATGAAAAGAAGAAGAAGCACCTTTTGGTCCGAAGAGGGCGGCGTAGCAGGGCTTGTGGCAGTACGGCGTCCCGTCGTGCTGCAAAACACAAGAGGAGAGAAAGTAAGGAGACGCGTCCGCCTCCAGTTTCTCACCGTTCTGAACCAGAGGGGAAAAGTTTAGCTTGTCAACTTTTTTTTGTATTTAGTCTGTTTGGATTCACGTAATGCCAGATAATAAATGAACCAGGACTTATTCCCAGACATTTACAAGACATGTCTGCTCTGTTATTTTCTCTGTTCACAGGAATTCGTAACGCACGACAGAACTAAATATGAGCATCAGTCCGATCCGCGGTCTGTTTACTCTCATTTCATTTCTTTATTCTCTGTGAAAGCCTGTTCCCTGGGAGGTGACACACCATGCTCCTTTTGATAACTACGTGTTGTTTAAAGTAAATAGAGACTACTGTGTCTTTTCTTCAGCTTGTCTCTCCGTGTTTCACCCTTTTCAGACATAACATGTGTTCCTGTTATTGCTGGCTTTATCTGAACGTGTCTGCAGTGGCACCTGCAGGATTCTATTCCATAGTAAACACAAGAGCCGGCCGCCCGCTTTCAGGCTACAGCGCCGTAGGTTCCTACCTCGGGGTCTGAAAAGTGAAACCGATGCTTCATGTGTTAAAGCTGCATTCTCTCTAGTGTCCACCAGGGGGCGACTCCTCTGGTTGTATAGAAGTCTATGAGAAAATGACTCTACTTCTCTCTTGATTTATTACCTCAGTAAACATTGTAAACATGAGTTTGTGGTCTCAATCTCTAGTTTCAAGTCTTCTTCAATACAGCATGATGTTCATTTAGTACATTATGGTCCATTTAGAGTCAAATAGCAGAGTATGCTTTAGGGCGGGGCTACACGGTGATTGACAGGTCGATACAGCAGCGTTGTCCGGTCTGGGAGTTGTCTGTGTTTTGCTCTTACAACTTTAACCCTTTCACAGGGTTTTCTGGTCACCAGAAAATGTCTTATTCAGATTCGGTTGTATTAAAAAACTCTAGGCTTCAAAAACGTCAATTCACAAACCAAGACAGCGGTGACTACTTCTTATAAACAGTACTTCCTCATTAAAAGCTTATTTTAAGACCAAGAAAGCCACAGAAACTATCATAGTTGTAAATAACAGGCTTAAGCTCAGCGCTTGTGTCGGTGCTGAACTGAGCGTAACACCTCGGACCACAAATGGACTGAAGGTATTACTGAACAGTCAGAATCAGAGCTGATTTAAAATGACAATGCTTTTTATGTGGACAAACTGCACCAAAGAAAGAAATGCTCCAAAGAGGAAGAACCTGTTCGGCTCGGGGTGGCAGACACTTTTACTTTTGACCAAAGAGAACAACCTCAACAGGAAGTAGGCGGTGTCGTTGTGGTCAGACTCTTACAGTCATATACCGACTTCTCTGCAGACTTACCGAGTGGTTAGAAAGTCACTGGAGTAACTGTTCAAGTTCGACCACAAGGAAACCTCAAAACCTCCTGCTGGTTGTTATCGTCTCTTCATTCAAAGGCCCGACTCAGTTCTCCATCTGCTGTGGTTTTAGTGTACATTCATAACATGTGTGTCTGAAACCGCTGCAGCCTGTGACTGCAAACAGTTTTACTATTAAGATGAATAATCACAACACTCATGCAGACAGTTGTATGAATCACTGCTTCTACACCTCTCTGTCTGTCCTGATCAGTCAAACGCTGAAGGTTAAATTCTAAAGTGAATTAAAACATGCTCCTCTTTACAACTCTCACTCGTGTTTCCACCGTCACCTCTTGCCAGATTTCAGAAGGAGACTTCTGCTTGAGCGGGACTTGGATCGGCGCAAAACAGACAGGATCAAGAAAAATGTTTCATTTCTCTATGAGGTCAAAGTTACCCTTTAAAAAATGGCAATATTGTGCCACTAAATATTAATGATAACACATAAAAGTGGGAATAGAACTCATTCCATTGCCTTCTGTTCATTTCCTCTTACCTCAGCGTGGCCTCCGGGATTCAACGTCTTGTTGCAGCGCTCACATTTCAGACAGAACTTGTGCCAGTCTTTCCCTAAAGACGACACCTTCTCCGCTGCAGAAGAAGAAGAAGAGACACAAACGAGGGCTTTATATCAACCTGTGTGGTAAAACTACTGAGTTACAGGGTCATGTGTATGGTGTTCATGGGACATGGAGTCCTTCAGAACCAGAATAAAGATCCAGCTAAGATGAATGGACCAGACTACTCAGTCCTGGGAAACCAGATGATAATAAGACAGAAGAGAGAATGAATTCACCAAAGACAAAAAAAATGAAGATCCAATCATCCAAGTCACATCCTGAGGGTCAGAGAGGCATAAACAGAAATGTTCCAGAAAACACAATCAAATCAGAGTTAAGATTATGAACGTCACTGCCAAAGAATATCAAACAGAAAAGGGGAAAAGGGTCTTTCCTGTTATTTGTGATGAGATTCAGGTTTTTCTTCACACACAAATATGCTTTAGATTCAGAAACAGCAGACAGAAACTAACAGTAACATCTCCAGAGGAACGGACATGCACTGATATTCAGAATGACGTGTGTATGACATGTGAATGACATGTGTACAGTACAACAGTCTGGATACAGTAACTAGAGAAGTGTCTCCCTCTCTCCTCCCAAACAGAGAAGACCTTTAGTTTCTTGTTATTTAGTTCTTTACTTTTCCCCCTTTTTATATCAATTTGTTGTAAAAAATGATCACAAAACATCTTGATTGATTCTGACAGCTTTGAATCTCAAAATCCCAGAAATAGATCAAATGTCTGGCTTGAAAACATTTTTTAAATTGCATATCTATTAAAAAGTTGTTGTTTTTAAAAGCAACCATGAAAGGTCCTTGAGCATACAGTTATGAATGTGCACAAACAAATATTAGGATGATGGGCCCAGTCGTATGCGAGATCAGACGTGGACAGACAGACACACTCACAAGAACGAACACATGATCTCCACAGTTTACGCCTGCAGAGATAAAAATATAATGTGAATTATAGCCGAGCGGTTTGTTCCATGAGACTACAGTTGAAGTGATAAAGACACTTGACAGGCTCTTGAGTTCACGTCAACCTAGAGCACATTCTCTCCTCTGCGTTTAGAGAGCGACACCGAGAGATTCACATCTTGTTGTCTGGGTCACAGTAACTCAGGCGTTCTGTACAGCTACTGTACATTCCTTCATTCCTCTCCCTGACTCTAACATTTATTTTAATGATAAACTGAACTATCACAGACACTTCCTTCCCTTCCCAAACCTATTTTCAAGCTTAAAGAGACGTTTAGTTACATTACAGACATTTAGAGACTCTACAGGTGAATAGTTTCACAACATGAACTCACAGATATCACCATGAAACCTCACCACTTCATACTTACTTACTTTTGGTGAATTTAGTAGAAATCTACAAACACAAATAGACAAAGTAGTAAAATAAAAACCTCAATGTCTTTCAAGGCAAAACACTGATTAGTACAAACCAGTTCTGCATGAAGAGTACTTCTATCGTTGGTACTTAATGCTTTGATGCTACTTACTTAGGTAAGACTTTGAATGCATGAGTTTGATGCTAATACGTTTGGTCTTTTAGAAAGGACAGCAGGACGGACGGATGGAGGTAGAGAGAGAGAGAGAGAGAGAGAGAGAGAGAGAGAGAGACTCCCAGAATACGCCAGCAGAGACCCTGAGGTCCTGATAGAGCGACACACTTCCTGTTCAGACTCACATACAGCCTGTCACTGATATGTGACAGTAAATCACATTGACACAGCGAGCACTTTGCATTGATGGTGGAGGACGTGTGTGTGTGTGTGTGTGTGTGTGTGTGTGTGTGTGTGTGTGTGCGTAGCCGTTGCGAGGCAACAGAAACACTCCAATCTCGTATTATTAAGATTAAAGTTGCTTATTTGAGTTTTAATTGATCTCATTTTTTCCTTTCCGGCCCTGTTTCGCTTTTCTGTGCAGGTTTGTGTTTGTTTTCTTGTAATCTATCTTTTATTTTTCCCATTTTCTAAATCAATTTGTTTCATAAATTAATACAAATTAAATGTCACACAAAAACATGATTGATAATGACAACTTTGAAGCTCAAAATCCAAAAATAGACCAAATGTCTGAGCTTAAAAATGTATAAAATGCATCTCCATCGCAATATATTCCATGTGCAGCAACACAACAACAACTCTCACTGCCGGAGGAAACATATTTCTGCAATGTACTGCGAGTAGGAGAGAGAACAGCATGTCTGGTTGAAGCTGCAGGGCGTGGTTCTTCCTTCTCCAGAGACACGAAGAGGAAAGAACAACGAGAAAATCGATCCATGTGACGCATGAGCGATCGATAAATTATTTACAACGCCATGTGGTGTGTGTAGCTTCAACATGATCAGCAGCTGAACACTGATATATGGGCTCTAAAGTCACTCCTGGGTGAGATGATATTACTGTCTGGGGAACAAAAAGGTGATTTAAAGGTTGGACTTACATGTAAAGATGGTAATATGTCACAAGCTGTCAGATAACACAGTTCAGATCTGACGGCCATAAACAAACAGGACGGTTAATGGCTCGTATCTAAAGATAGTGAACCAATTATAGCCCAGTCTGCACTGTGTCACAGCAGAGCGGCTACCAGTTTGAGTCTGGGACTCACCAGCTGAGAGGAACTGACAAAGTAGTTTCACATCAAAACTGGTAAAAAGCTAAATAAACCCCGAGGCAGCTTGAGGCAGCGCAGACTTCAGATAATTGCAATACGAGGGCTACTGGATCAGGATGTTTGGTCCCTGGTGGGAATTCATCCTCGTATCACTGTTAGTGGAGTGAAAGCAGCAATACCACAGAGTAAAAATACTCTTTGACAAGTAAATATTCTGCATTCAAAATCCAAGTATTAGCACCAAAAGATAATGTATATTATTGGATTATAATCAGTGATGCATTCATGTGTTCATCCTTTTGATGTTACAGCTGGTGGGACTGATTTTAAAGACTTGATATACTGCTGGGAAGCTTAACTTATAATAACACATCATAAGTAATAAGTTGATTCATTAATAATAATAAATAAATAGTAACCATGAAACAAACGTGGTGGAGTAAAAAGTACAGCAGCCCAAAAATTAAGTGGAATAGGAAATATCATAAAATGTAAATCAGTACAATTACCTCAACATTATACGTAAGCGCACTTGAGTAAATGTACTTGTATCGTACGGTGAAGGCGTGCCGGGATGGTTTTACTCTAGAGTTCCTGCAGGAATCCTAAAACCAAGAAATGAGTCAGCATTTTACACTTTCTGCTTCCTCGTCACAAAGTCAAAGTGTTTCTGGAATGAGATCTGTCGTTAACACAAGCTTAAGATATTTTAACGTCTACGATACGAGCCAACGTTTGTAGCCTAACGCTAGCGTTTTACTTCTGCTGATGGCATTCGTGCTTCAAGAAGCATAAAAGTTTATTTTGTGACGATTATCTCGCTGAACAAAACGTTTCAGTTTAATGAACAAGTTTTTGCCACAGAGCTTATTTTCTGCAATAACCCAAAAGAAAAATATTTTTGGCTTTTTGTCGAGGGGAACCAGAGCGACGCTAACTTCCTGTTTGGTTTACAAAAAGGCGTCGTCCCTGCAGCGCTCTTTATGCTGCTGAACGTTGATGATAATAACGTTGTTGTCATCCGTACCGTAACTCCCGTAGTTTTCAGAGGGCTCCGTGAACGCAGCCGACACGTTCTCACTCCCAACTCGTCAAATACCGACGTTTGGTCCGTGATCTAAAGCTTCAAACGGTCTGCGTACAGTTAAACTTCCAACATATGTTACGTTTAGTTTTTAGGTTTACTTACCCAACAAAAACACTTAGTTGGGTTTAGAAAAAGGTTTGGGTTCAAATAAATGCATCTATTACGTAAAATAACTATACTTTTATGTAACTGGCGAGAGGAAGTTCTAGAAGTTCCGTAAAAAGGTAAAATAACTCAACGTTCTCTTAGTTTCAGCATGGTTGTATGTAAAGAACTGGATACAGCAGCGGAGGCTGGATTTTTTAATTTTTTCCTTTAAAAATGTTCTATATTTTATTTTATTTTATAATAAACCTTCATCTATCCTGGATAGTCGGATTGAGGTTGTGAACGCGGTCCTGGCCAAGATGGCAGCATACAAGTTAAATTAGCAGTGTCGCTCAGTAACAAGTACATCTTTGAAATAGTTATTAATCCTGTTCTCAAAATCCTGCATGCTCATGAACAATCTATTTCCTATGACATGATGTCTAAACAGTCGCTACATAGTAAATACACGTAGCAGCTTTTATCCAAATTGCACCACTGCCACACGATAATTACATTTACATTTGAGACACTGAGATGTGAAATAAATTAGAAATCCAATTTAACTTTTCACCCGGTCACTTTGAATGCCTCAGTATGCACCATCGGTGTGTTTTCACCATATTCATGTGCTCATACCACAAAGCCCCACCTGTAATGGAAAAGTCTGCACATACTGCTTTTACATGTTGATTTATAAGATATGCATTAAGTCACAGGGGATATTTATTTTATTCAATATTCATGGATGCTTCTTAAAACATTCTTAGATGTGATTATGTTATATTTATAAAATAATACAATAAAACATATATTTTTGTCAGTGGGTGCAGGTCGCCTCGGATCATCTGTGAGCTCTGTAGCTGCGTGGTTTATAATAAATCTCCCTAAAATCAAATGTTGTGCGTTAAATACATACGCAGATTTAAAGAATAGAGGAAGGTAACATCCCAGCAGCACGCAGAGCCTTCGCCTCTCATCAGAACCTCGACGTCGAGACGTGACACAGAAAACATGCACTCACCGAAATACACCGTCTTGTCGCATTTTGGACATTTTGACGCCATGTTCCGTGTGAACAAAGAGAACGAGTCGTTTTCTGTCGGTGCACCGGCGCCCTGTCGGTCTCCGTGTCTGTCTGTCTCCTCAGAGGATGGTGGTGGTGGTGGTGATGGCAGAGTACCGACGCTCACATCCTCCCTTTGGCTCGTCGGCCTCATTTGCATAAACCCCGCCCCCAGGATGACATCATCCCTTTCTCATACAGTAGATATAAAATATGTTTATTATTAATTAAACAGTGTTTATTTTGGCGTTGCTCTATGTTGAAGATTTTCTGGCAAAACCAGTTATTATTAATATTATTATGGATTCATTAGCCATGAATATAAATGATAAACTTTGCTTTATTGTCTTTAGCATGCAGACAATACATTCTTTCCATTCAACACTCAGAAACACAAATTAAAACACGAATAGCTTGTGCTGTGTGAAGAATTTTGCATTCAATTTAAACTTTAGAGTTCCAAACAGATGTTTAGTGGTTATTTCCTCCATCACGTGTCCCTTTTGTGCATGTTATGTACTTCTACGTTGTCTTTAGAGACAGAAATCAGGGGCCGTCTCTTGAGGTAGATTATATAAGAAATAAAAATGTAAAAAAGTAGATATTAAATATAAAAGGAAAACATTTACCTGTTCATATCAATATTAACTTTATTTTCCTGTAACACCACCAGTATACTTGGTTCATAATGACATCATTATACTCCGTATGTCCTATCAGAGGATTTACTCGTACTATAATAATGAATAAAAAATAAAGGTAAATGTTTTTCACTTGAAAATAATCTTTACTTCACTCACATGAACTACTAACTTGTTATATAATCCCCTTTATTTATCTGACAGCTGTAATGATTAGTTGTTTCCATGTAAAATATGTGATCATTTGATTAAATGTAATGCATTGTTACAAAATAAAAATGCAAAACATAATGTTAAATATCGGGTAAAAAAAAAGTATTAATATATATCACCTTGAAACATTCCCAGTTACTTACTTACAAGAAGACAATTAGTTTTCCATATTCGTATGTTTAAATATGAAAGTGAGACAAAGTCTGACGGTAAATCTTCAAATGTAAGTCGACAAAGTAGTCAAATTAAAACCTAAACGTGTATTCTGGATGTTTTCTTTCTACTAGTCTGAAAATAAGACAGTAAAATAGACATTCAAATACTGCTTACATGTTAATTGCATAATTATTCATGAATATGAAATGTGTATGAGAATAAAGGCATTTTACAGAATTACATTCTGGTGTTTGAGGCCTCATAATGAATGTAAGTCAAATACTCACTTTCCTTTTAACTGTCCCAAAAAAATGAAATGAAAAGGAAAAATCTGGTGCATATAGATTAGAATGAAATTGACCACCAACACATCCAAGAATTTACTTTTATGAGGTCATTTGTCCTAATATGGACTTCCTGGATTACAGACGGCCCACTTGAGTGAAGATTTCTCTGCAGATGTGCGTCGTCTGTCGCAGGTGTCTCTATTTCTGTAAATGTGATTAATAAATCGTAGCAATGTTTGCTCCCGTGCATTCATCAGTGTCATCAGCTCTGTTTGTGTTCTCCCTGTGGTTGTTAGGTTACGCTGCCGGACAGCACAGCTCTCCACAGGGAATGTTAAGTGATGCTCCGCAGCTCCCAGGAGAGCTGCTCTGCACATTCTTGGCACCGAGATACAAGAAGGAGGCCTTTTGTGTGGAGTTAAGAAAAAACAATACATTACAATTGAAATATTGTTTTTTCTTTTCTTTCTGAGGGCAAAAAATAAACATAAATTGCAATTTTGTCTCATTATACCTCCAGTTTTTGGACCAAATGTGCAACGAAATGCTACATATCACTATATTTCCCCCTAAATATTCAACTCAACTGAACATTGTTTTTTTGCCAACAAGGCCTTAATTTGTTTGCACGTCAATGTGATTTTTCAAACTGTAGTTTTTGAAAAAGCAGCAACATTTCTTTCAACTGCAGCAAACGCCACGAAGACCAGATCCACTCCTTCCATTTTTACCTTTCACAATAAAAGCCCATGACATATAATATTCGCAGGCGAATATTTTGCATTTTCGTCATTCATCTCTCCTCCTACTATAATCTGTTTACATGGCTAATGAACATTTATGTTCCAGGAATACTCCTGTGTGCATCCGTAAGCGAATATGTTCAGTTGTCAGAATCGATATTCCAACAGCGGACTCAAGTTTCTGCAGAACTCAAACAGAATTCAGAGCTACAGGCGCTTCAGTTCAACAAGAGACCGTGTTAACTGGTGACTTTCAACCGAATGCGTCCGTGGGTTGCTGGTGGTAACCAGCAACCCAAAGGTCAAACCTCTGAGTCCATCTGTCATGATGTTGGACATTCTGTACATAAATACAAATAACAGAGTTCTATCACTGACTTGTATGCTTGTAATTTCTCGCTAGGTTTTAAATCTGGCAATTAAATACTCTGGAAAGTCACACAGATCTGGAAAGTCAATTGTTGAGGTCGCTTTCGCCATCTTTGGTGGTTAAATCTTGACAAGCTACTACACCCCGCCTTCGTTCCGTTGCCAAACATACGGCATCATTGTTTACACACCGTAAAAGGGTCTATTCCCTCCAAGTTCACCCGCAAAAAAATAAGATGGACGGTACAAACAACACACTGAGATGCAGGTGTTGAGCAGTGGATTTGTGCCAGTAAGACTTGCCTTTCTTTTACGTCTCCTGGTCCGACGACTGCACGCTGTATTTTTAAACGAGATAAACACACATAAACAGATTCAGCAAAGATGGAAACAGTGGCGATTCTCTTTCCACATAGTGCCCTTGGGCTTCAGCCATATGGGGCCTGGGAATGCACTAATCTTAAAATAAACACATCCAGATTGTGTCTCTATTTAGTTTTGGCCCAGATGTCCACAGTGACTGGATGTCTGGGGTGTAGGAGGTCTAACCCAAACTGCTTCTGTCTCATATCTGCATAAAAGATTGTGTTTTTCATACCCAGACAAACTGTATCCAAAGCCGGATGCATCTTATTCCTCTGTGCCATAGAGCTCCATTGCTGTCAATGAGCCACACTGTTGCACTGGGGGACATGTTCCTTCATCACCATGAACACACACACTGTAGTTTGTCTTCCTCTTGCACACGACGCCCCCAAATTTGGGGGCTCTCGGGCTTAGGGGGGGTAGCAAATATCGTCCAAAAAATGCTCATATTGATAGCGAATATTGTGCATGTGTACATTTTATATACCAGATTAAACAGCAACATATGGGCAACACTATCATATAAGTCACTTTTTACACACTCCAAACACAACTATACACTACTAATATAAGCAACTAGAAAATGTACCATAATACCACGTATTTCTGGCCACGAATCTGCGTTTTATTTATTGCGCTTCGATATTCCAACAACAAGCTAATGGCTAAACGGCTAATCCATACATCGCCGAGCATGAGAATTCGACGCAGAACCCATAAATACCTTCGGTTTTTCTCTCCGTGAAACCAGTACAAAGCTGTGAGCCAACAACGGCAGCACAACAGATCACTTCACCGGAAAAAATCATAGCCATCTGCTCACCTTTATGAAGAATCACGAAAAGAACGGCGATAATTATCTGGTTCAAAGCTAGAAACATTGTTGGCAAGTACATCCTGTCTGTTTCTCATCTGTTTCCTGTAAAAGGGGGGTCAATCTAACTTGCTGGACCCGGGGGTGGGTGGTCAGACTTTTGGCGAATGGAATTTTACATTCGGGGATGCGCGGCACTTTTTGCATTTTTACTCGCAGAAAGTTCTGTCAATCAACACCCGGCTTCGACGACCGCCTTCCTGAGACTCTGACGCATCGAAGGCGGGCTCATTGACTGAAATCGACCGATGATAGGCTGAGCTAGACCTCCATACACACACAGCAACTGGAATTCAGACGAGAAAATCTCATGGATGAGAGCCAGAACCAGGCTCTGAGAGGACCCTGGCTCTCAAAATGATGCCAAACGGTTCTTAGAAAAGATAAAATGAGGAACCAGCAGGTCTCAGACCAGTGAAACATCATCTCATCTGCTCCAGTATCAGCATACTGCACCACGGACATCAGGAGAGGAACTGGGCGATGAGTTTGACTCTTCACCTGTGTGTTCATGCTGTCAAACATCTCCATGAATCCTGTCTGTTTTCTGATGAACTCCATCTGAAGAAAACAAGCTGCATTTGCTGCAAACATTTATCTTCAGCATCAATCTTCACACCTTCATCTTCCTCAGTCTTCTTCTTCTTCTTTTTGACCGTGGGACTGAACATGATGTGCCCTTGTTGGATTGCTTGTATGTCAGTGTCACAAATGCATCATGGGACTAGACTCAGTGTGAACGTGAGACTCAGTATGAGTCTTAATACAGTTTGTTTATTGCTGCATCAGATTGGATCATTGATGCAGAAACGTATAACTTTGAGTTATAAGAGTTGAGCTAAACAGAACTGAATGAGAGAAAAGTGCATAAAAAAAGCAACAAGTGACGTATGAGAGAACAGAGGGAG